GCACGTAAAAGACGGGAACAAACAAAGGGAAATGTCTCCGTGTTTAAAAATACCCGTGTATGTGTAAATGGGGCTTAGGCTGAGTTCTTCTCAAACGAAAAACACTCTGGTCCACTTTGTGATGTCACGTGGTAATACAAGAAATGCATCAATTAGAGCTGCTCGATTACGGAAAAATCAATATCACGATTATTTTGATCAATATTGAAATCATGATTATTCAAACGCATTTATTCAGCATTTCTCTCTCTCAAAAAACACTTTGTTATTGATAATTTATGCAGAACTTTCAAACTGAAAATAAATATAGTCTACAAATATGAACCTTAGAGCAGCTTTCCGATGTATAAAACGTAAAATGAATAAAAAATATACTTTGAACATGAAATAAGACAAAGAAAAACATAAATGTATCCAAAATAAACACTAATTATATAAAAAATAACCCAAAATAAACATTGTTAAGCTAAATAATTTCAACTCGATTTTGTGAGTTTGAAGATCGTTTGACACACAAATTGAAATCGTGATCAAAATTAAATTAATTTTACACTTTCAGTAGAATCATTTGGCTAATTTCAGCCCCGGAGTTGCAAATCTCTACTGAACTAAACGTAAAAAAGAGCTGCTCACTTGGAAACTAGCACTACATGACATCACAAGGTGGAACCGAGCATTCAGACAGACGAATAAAACACGTGTGAGTGAAACAAAACAGAAGTCTGGGTATGTTTTCGAGGAGGTAACAGCTCGATTTTGTGTCATGTCGGAGCTTTAGTATTTGGATTGTAAGCCGTCTCTGGGCGACGTTACATAAGACGGTTCTTTCTGAAAGTGTAATGAAACGTGTAACCTGATCCGCAGCTCACAAAGTGTAATTTACACACAGACAGACACTTATCTATGACCTGAGGCGTAGTACCGAGTTACTTTTACCTGAGTAACTTCTCAAAGAAACTGTACTTCTCTTAATAGTTTTCAGACACAGTTGCTTTCAAAGTCGACAAAGGACAAAAGCTTTACGATATGAAATGATTTGAACGTCCTTTGATAATTTGCTGCCAGATTATGAGCATTACTGTTTTGAACTTACAACAAAAACACAAATAAATCTGATGTTACTCGCAGATAATTACTCAAATAAGCTACTTTTACTGGATTACCGTATTTTTTGGACTATAAGTGGCATTTTTTTTCATGGTTTGGGTGTTTCCCGCGACTTATACTCCGGTGTGACTTATATATTAATTTTTTCACCATAAAGCGTGGAGAGGTTCTAGTCTTGTGTGTCAGTATCTGCTGCTCCTGTTCCTCCTGCACCACTGTCACTTCACTCTACTGCACATGTCTCCTGCAGAAAGAGCCTCTGTCCTGCTGCAAGTCGTGAAATCTACAGCTGAAAATGATAATCGAGCAGCAGAAAGAAAGTTTGGAGAGAGAGAGAAACTTGTGACACCGGGAGGATGAACCATGAAACTTTCCTGAAGTCACTGGATGGATGGACAAAGTCTGGACTTCAGTGACACCGAAACCATCCTGTCGGGATTCAGAAAGACCCAGAATAATTCTAACTGGAACTGATGCTGAGTCTGACGACAGCGACACAGAAGAGGAAGCGTCGCTCTGTTTACCTCCGGAGGTCGAGGAGTTGCTCAGAAGTGACACCGAGGATGAAGAATTGAATGGATTTAGTGATTTGGAGTGAGATGGAGAGTTTGTTAAACTTGTTCTGTTCTGTTGTTTATGTTATAGTTTATCTGAAGATCTGTTCATATGTGACGTTAACAGTCTGTTGTTCTCTCTTCTATTGTTTTTACTACAACTTGACTTTCAACAGGAAATGTCGGTTCCTGGTCTCTGATTTTATAAAATAAATTTCCCTCAAAAATGCAACTTATATATGTTTTTTTCTTCTTCATTATGCATTTTTTGTCTGGCGTGACTTATACTCCAGAGCGACTTCTAGTCCGAAAAATACAGCAGATAATTGTTTCACCAAATACTAAAAGGTTCACCACGGAGACGTTGTTACTTTGACTGGAATTTTTCACAGTATGACGTTAAACTTATCCATCTCCATGGAGACAAACCCCAAGCCAAGCCAGGTCATATCTGTGGAGAGGTGTGCCCACTTACAGTAGAATGCATCATTATATAAAAACACACCTATAATTAAATAATTACCCGAATTTAATGCCCTACTGTGGTACATTCCAGGAAAGATGCTATTGTTTTGTCTGGAATGTTATGATACAGTATGGTATTAAACATTATTTTTTGCATGGAGACCAAACCAGACCAAGTTACAGGTCAGATCTGTGGAGATGTGACCCCGCTCACAGTCAGAATGTCTGTTTCTCAAGGTATTGTTTTGATTAATTGAAGACAAAGCTACACAACATCGACAGTCAAAGCTGCTCCACGGCCATATGAACAAATTCCCGGGCAAATCATGTTATATTCAGTATCCCTTGTGAAACTCCGCTACCAGGAACGCACAATGGGTGTTCTTGTATCATGACAGAAACACTGAGGCTGCAGCTGGATCCTTCTCCAAAACAGGGACATTTTGTATAAAACTGGGACAAATCACTAGTTTTGGATAAATCTGCTGAGAAAGGGACACAGGACTCAAAACTGGGACTGTCCCTGGCAGAGGCGGCGCTACCTTTAGGCATTATGACATTACATGAGAGTATTTTACTTTTACAAAATAATCATGAGAAAAATAATAATAATCATATGTAATGGATGTACTGTACTGTAATGACTGCAACAGGACATTTAAATACACATCTGTCCTTGATGTCCCAGTTCTTTTAGTTGTTTTGTTGTGATTTGTTGACGTGCCCTTTGCTGCGGCGCTGGTGTTACTAGTTCTGTATTCTAATGTTTACATAGTGGGTGTAATGTTTACATGGTTCGGTGCTCTACACTAATATTCACTTTTAAAATACTATGCAGTCTGTGTGTAGTCAGGCTGGTTTCACCTAGTGCCTCCGCTCAATTTAATTTCTCTCTCGGAATACACCAGACAGTTCTCAAAACCCTGGAAGTGCGAGTTCGGGCACCAGCCAATCAGCGAAGAGTCATACATTCTGTGTTGTCAATGATTCCCGAGATCGAGGATTTAAAGCCAGAACAAAAAGAATGTTTGGTGAATTTTATCAAGAGGAAAGACATTATTGTCCTTCTTCCTACGGGATTTGGAAAAAGCTTAATATACCAGTTAGCCCCGTTAGCGGCGCATTACATACGTCATGACCAAATAGAAGCGATCGGTTAAATTAAAAAAGTACCCGCCTACCGTCGAGCGAAGGAATCCTAATGCTGTAAGGTCAGAAGGTTTCCACGAAGTGAAACAGTCAGATGAATCAGACTCGTCTGTATGATCATATGAATGTAATTTTGTTGTTATTTTATATGACAATGACAATAAAATAATTTAAATTGTATTGAAAAATTATGTAAACAAAAATGTAATTGCACAAATAAAACTACTGTCAGTTCTTGTTATCTAGAAGTAGGGTTGGGTGGTAATAAATTATTACAGTATCCCACGGCATCAAAAAGTAGCAACACTATCAGTTTCATTACCGTCATTAAAATAATCTGCAGTGCATAAGGACCTAATATATTATTATAGTTTATTGATACATACATTTGTTTGCTCAGCACAAATGAATGTGTGGTTGTATTTTCAGTTTAATCTGTCAGAATTTAAAACTAATAGTGTCTATAAAGTTTCTTTTAAATGACGTTTGATTAGTTTCGTTCTGTCGTCACGTGACGCTCATAAGAGAGACCGAGACAAGACAAGTCCGGCCGCGAGTGAGTTGGTCTAAAAAAAAGAAAATACTAGTACTTCTCCAATTTGGCAGCATTTTAGCTTCGTTTCTTTTAGCCACATTTGTTTACATTTTACAGAAACAAAACTTAAAACCACATGACTCATTTGCATAAACTATAAAGCGCTGATAAAAACAGCTCGCTCCTTGTGTGCTGATGCGGTTCAGCTTCTATGGACCAAAGGACACGACTCAATGGACGATAAGTGTTCTTTCTGCGACAGAGGGATGTTCTGCTGATGGTGAGTCTGTTCTGTGTTTCTGTTGCATTGGAGATGGTTCATGTTAAATATTTTAGAGACTATAAGTGCAGGTTGTGCACACACACAGACCGTATAATAGTGCAGCTTTGTAGCTAAACTGGGTTGTCCAAACTTTTATCATCAAGAGCCACATCTCTAAACACAGATGAAGCAGAGGGCCGGTCGAGGGCCGAATAACTGAAATATATGCATGTTTAACACGTCAGAATGACCTTTTATTCACGCTAAGATCCTTAAAACCACACACATATATTAAATATTAGCTTTTTCAAATCAGATTTTCAATAAACTTGCAGTAAAAAGTAAATTTTTAATTGATATTTTCAGTCATGATCTATGAAACTGTAGTCTATGTTTTGTTTTATTTTGTTTTGTAGTGCTGCAAAATAACCAAATAAACTACTACTACTTCTACTATCATACTAGTCATACTAAAACATTTTGTTATTCGCGTATACCCTGGTTAAATCGGTATCAAAATCAATCTTATGTCGACGGCTTCCTGACTAACAAGACAAGTTTTCAATCCACCATAATTCAAATAAATAATAAATACAGATGTGCATGTCTCAAGAACGGGGAAAAACAGACAATAAATACATGTCGATATAAAAAATGCATTATAGTGTGGGCCCCAGACTCAAGTTCGCCTTGGGCCCCCAAACTGCTCCCTCCGCCACTGGTCCGGGGGTAACTAGGGACATCCGGCCACCTTCTACGAGCTACAAGTACAGTTCTGCTCTGCGCGTAAATGAAACCGGATCACTTCTCACGCAAAGGTACAAAGTGCAATAAGTACTTCGCACAGTTACGCACACGACTAAATGCTAAGCCAAATCCGTGCTAAGTTCATCGAGTGCAGAAGTGCGTGGGTAAAAGCTGTACATACCCATGGTGCGCGCCGCTCCGTGCCTCTCCGTGCGTCTTTGTGCTTTTATACCGTGGTTCGCGTGACAGGGCGGCTCTGACACGGCTGATTCACGGTGACACTGCGCCGGGAAACGAGCAGGTCCAGCCCGAAGGAAGCGGCTCCTCCTCCCCGCTACGTGCCACAGGAAAAGAAACGGTTCTGGTTCTGGCTCAACAGAACAAAAGCGCGAAAGCTCCTCTGGCCCCAAAGGGAAAGGTTGTTTACATACTGCGGGATCAGCTGCACCTCGAGTGGAAAATATGAGTGGACCCAAGTGGTTTAATGACATAAAGACAACAAACACCCTGTCCATACATATAAAGCTGCATCGCGTAACTTTTCTGGCCCCGTAAATGTTTTTTTTTTTTTTTTTCATGTACATGTTGTCACTTTGTCTGTAAAAATTCACAGTGTGATATTAAACCTTTCTATTTTCAGATGGAGACCAAACCAGAGCAAGTTAGAGGTCAGATCTGTGGAGAGGCGACCCCGCTCAGTCAGAATAAGTGTTTTTATAAGCAAGACAAGGCAAGTTTATTTGTAAAGCGCAATTCGTACACAAAGTAATTCAAAGTGTTTTACAGAATAAGAAAAACATTAAAATCACAATAAAAACAAACTGAAACACAAATAATTATCATAAAATTAAAGATTAAAATAAAAATAAAAAGATAGAGAGACATTAAATACATAAATTAGAGAGAAGAGTGCGGAATGAAAACCTTTCAGTTATATGTGCAGGTAAACAGAACCGTTTTGAGTCTGGATTTAAACAGCATCAATGTCGAGTCTCAAATGTTCAGACTGTTCCAAGTTTTAGCTGCGTGAACCTAAAATTCTGACTCCTCATGTTTAGTCGTGACTCTGGGCACCAGCAGGAGGCCAGACCCTGAAGATGGTTCATATGACACTAACATGTCACAGATGGACTTAGGTGCTCGGTCATGGAGACACTTGTACAAGCAGAAGTGTTTTAAAGTCTCTGAGCCACAGGAGCCAGAGCAGAGACCTGAGACCAGGACTTATGTGCTCGTACTTCCTAGTTCGAGTCAGGACCCGAGCTGCAGCGTTCTGGATGTTCTGGATGTTCTGCAGCGTCTCACAGCTCATTTGGAGAGGACAGTGAGCAGAACATTACAGAAATCTAAACTACTGGAGACAAACACATGGATAAGTCTTTCTAAGTTTGATTTAGACAGTAAACTTTAGATTTTTTATGTTTTTTAGATGGTAAAAGGCTGCAGATGTTATTGATTTGATGTGGCTGTTAAAGTTCAAGTCTGAGTCCATTATTACCTCTACATTTCTCGCCTGATTTGAAGGTTTTAGAGAGAGAGACTGGAGGTGATGCTGACACTGTCCCTTTGTTTCTGTGGACCAAACACTATGACTTCATAAAACGATCATTCCACCTCAGTTCACCTAAAAAAAAATTGCAATTTAAGCCCTCACATTGTTCAGTTTCAAAGAAAATTGGTGCATGTGTAAGTCATAACCAAGAAAGACAAAATCTGAAATTTTAGCATGATCGGAGTAACGGTTGCTGAGATATCGCAATCTAATTTTGTCACTTTTTTGTGTAGTCGCCGGATTTCAAATTACCTTTACTCAGCAACTACTGGTATAAAAAAAAACCTAAGTATCTCTGGAAAGGAGAAATTATAAAGAATCCAAATCTGGCATGGATATTTGGCACGTCTTAAGATGGGGGTACGTCAACTTCTAGGTAAATTTGTGTGAAAATAAAAAAGAAAATCCCTCTAGATTTTTTATATTTTATTTATTTATTTTTGTTTTTGAGTACTTTTGAGGTCAATTACCTTTTGACCTTAAAATAGACAATAAGGACACGCCCGACCTCAATAACACTAAAAGAAAAAATGTAGCTCTATAAATCTACTACTAAAATGACAGTGACACTTTGCAGGTGTTTTTGAGGAGCCACGATGGACGAGTGCGACTGAGATGTTTGTTCCTGCACTAAGCTGCACTTAGAATGTTAACCCTCTCCAGGCAGGCGTTGCAGATTTGCAACAGCTAAATTCCAATTACCTACTTACTCCACATCCATATTTTTTGAGCTTTTTTTTACTCAGGAGCCTTTTCTCCCATCCATACTGATAAACGTGGACGATGCAGACTGTGCAAGAATGACTACACACAAACGACCTGCCAGAAGTGTAAAATACTTTTTTTGTTCACAAAGGATAAAAAAGTCAGGATTATATATTACTACCCCATATTATAATTTTCCCCAAATATCAGATTTTTCCTGATACTAAAAATTAATTTGAGCCTGAGAGGGTTAATGTACAGTTTTATCTGCAGACTGAACAAATCGGACAATTTAATAATAATTGCACTCACAAATATGAGATTGCAATAAGACCAGCCCAGTACGTGAACTCTCTTTTAAAAACATAAATGTTTGTTGTTTTGTATTCGAGCTAATGAGGCTCGGGCGTCTGTGCTGATGCCTTCTGAGCGTCTCCCTCAGGAGGTGTTCATGTCCCACTGGGAGGAGGCCACGGGGAAGAGCCAGGACACACTGGAGAAACTGTCTCTGGGTTTGCCTGGGAACACCTCAGGGTCCCTACGGAGGAGCTGGAGGAAGTGTCTGGGGTGAGGGAAGTCTGGGAGACCCTGCTCAAACTGCTGCCCCTGTTACCCGGCCCCGGATGTTTTGTGTTGTCACTGTTAGGGATGGGCATGATTAATCGATTAATTGATAATTGATCATTAAGAATTTCATCGATTACGTTAATTTTATTCGACAAACCGAATGTAGGTTTGTGTGTGTCGTGACCAAACAGGTGTGTACATGTGTCTCTGCATCAGAAGGAGCGAGACACAAACAGAAACATTCGGTCAGTCTGCAACGTACCGAACGATGACTTGTACAAGAAATTCCACACTTTCCATTGCGTTCGGGACAAGTGTGAGTCCATGTGCACAGTGTATAAAGCAGCACATATGTTTCTGTGTCCAGTGGGAAAAAGTTTTACCAGGTGAGAGTCGCTCAATGTGGATGACGAGGCCCCGCCCCCCTCCCCCCGTACGCTGTCCTGGTTTTGACAAACGCAAATCTGGTCACACTAACCTGTATTCACCTGAGTCATGTCTTTTAATCCGACAGAAATTGAACCACATCAGCGACACAAGAGCTGTAGTTTTATCTTCGCTGAGTTTATGCAAATTAGCGATGCAGTTTTAAGTTTTGTTTCTGTGAGATTTGAACAAAACTGAATTAAACACATTATAATGTCAAACGGGCTGATGTGGCTCTAGAGTCGTTATGGTTTATATGTCGTAAAGTTGAATTTATTTATGCAGATTAGTAGTGCAGATAGTAATAATAATGATGATCATTTTAATATAAAAACGTTAATGATTAATCGATAATCGATCTTTAATTCTTCCGACGATCGATTAAGAAAATTTCAATTGAATGCCCATCCCTAGTCACTGTCCTTGTCTGTTTTAAAAATGGACCATGAGTTCAGACTAAAGATGATGATGATGATGATGATGATGAACTTCACTACATTTTTAAACTCGACTGAAAAGTAAAAAGTACTTTTCTTTACAGTTTGAGACCTGCTGAAATGACTTTATTTTTAACACATTTAATTAGAATTAACATCCCAACTTTGAGCAAACCAAAAAAAACACAAATAGAAAAATTTATCAGAATCAAATTGAATCTCTTAAAATCAGCTGAATTCTGTTTCAGAATCACCACATTTCATCCTTTCATTGTTCGAAAATTCTCAGCAAAATACTTACTTTTTACTTTTAAAGTACATTACATTAGTACATACAACAGGTACTTTAATACTTTTACTTCAGCAGCTATTTTCATGTGATACTTCGTCTTTAACCCAAGAGACATAATGACAAGTTTGTGGAACATTTGTGGATTCATATTTTTGGATTTTAGTTTAGTTTTAGTTTATTTCCCGTAGAGTTCGACAGGTCCTGGCCCCTGCACCTGTCGGGAGCACCTGTCGGGAGCACCTGTCGGGGGCAGGGTGGTTTACAGTGACCTGCAGCTGCTGCTTGTTTCATTCATTATTCAAATAGTTTTACATAAGAGCGATTGTCCCATCTGGTCTAATTGTAGCGTGACACAAAGGAGAGAAGGAGAAAGAGAGGGGGGGAGCAGAGAGAGGGAGGGAGAGACAAAAGGAGAGAAGGGGGTAGAGAGAAAGAGATGAAATGAAGAGAGAGAGGGAGAGGGAGATTGAGAGGAAGAGAGAAAAGGAGAGAAAGGGGAAGAGAGAAAGAATGGAAAGGGAGAAAGAGATGGAGAGAAAGAGGCAGGAAGAGAGGAGATTGAGAGGACAGAGAGAAAAGAAGAAAAAGGGGAAGAAAGAAAGAGAAAAGGAAGCGAGAGAAGGAGAGAAAGAGGGAGATAGGGTGAGTCTCCTGTCACTCTCTTTTGGATAAATCTGCAGGGACAGTCCCCTGTAAATACCCTGATTCATCAGACGGTTTCACTTTGTGGAAACCGTCTGACCTCGCAGCGTTAGGATTCATTCACTCGACAGTAGACAGGTACTTTTTTTTATTTAACCAATCGCTGCTGTTTGGTCGTGACGTATGTAATGCACCAAATCCAGTAGGAAGGACAATAACGTCTTTTCCCTCGATAAAATTCACCAAACATTCTCTTTGTTTCCAGCTTTAAATCTTCAATCTCGGGAATCGTTGCCAACACAGAAAGTCTGTCTTCGTCTACATTCATCTCGACGCTTTCTTTACTGTTGTGCTGTTCCACAAAATGGACCCAGACAGACGTGATGAGTTTGACGTCATGACTTCACAGCTCTTCTCTGATTAGTTGGTCTACAGCTTCCGGCGTTCTTCCAAATTTGGCCCGTGAGATCATATCAAACATGTATTAGAGCTGCTCGCCGGCTACAGATCGACTATAGAGACATTATTTATTTAAAATGTTGTTATTATTTTATATTCTGCTTGTTCTATTCAGTGTTTAAGTAAAACTATTATTAAACATTTATTTTTTATAAGGTTTAACATTACAGATCTCGAAAGAAGAGAAAACATGCAGATGTTGTTGAAATGTATCAATAAATATTTAGTTTGGCCCAAGACTTAGT